TGCAAGATCTCACCTCGTGGCGTATCAATGATCCTAAGAAAGGTGAGGAACCAGCCCAGAACTACACGGGAGGAGCTGGTCAATGACCTGAAGAGAGCTGGCACCACTGTTTCCAAGGTTACTGTGGGTAATAAACTAAGACGTCATAGTTTAAAATCACGCATGGCACGGAAGGTTCCCCTGCTTAAATCAGCACACGTCCAGGCCCGTCTTAAGTTTGCCCATGACCATTTGGATGATCCAGAGGAGTCATGGGAGAAAGTTATGTGGTCAGATGAGACCAAAATAGAACTTTTTGGTCTTTATTCCACTCGCCGTGTTTGGAGGACGAAGAATGATGAGTACCATCCCAAAAACACCATCCCTACTGTGAAGCATGGGGGTGGAAGCATCATGCTTTGGGGGTGTTTTTTTGCACAAGAGACAGGACGACTGCACTGTATTAAGGAGAGGATGACTGGGGCCATGTAGAGGGAGATTTTGGGGAACAACCTCCTTCCCTCAGTTAGAGCATTGAAGATGAGTCATGGCTGGGTCTTCCAACATGACAATGACCCAAAGCACACAGCCAGGAGAACCAAGGAGTGGCTCCGTAAGAAGCATATCAAGGTTCTGGAGTGGCCTAGCCAGTCTCCAGACCTAAACCCTATAGAAAATATTTGGAGGGAGCTCAAACTCTGTTTCTCAGTGACAGCCCAGAAACCTGGTTGATCTAGAGAAGATGAGTGTGGAGGAATGGTCCAAAATCTCTGATGCAGTGTGTGCAGACCTGCTGAAACACTACAGGAAACCTTTGACCTCTGTAACTGCAAACAAAGATACTGTACCAAATATTAACATTAATTTTCACAGGTGTTCAAATACTTATTTTCAGCAGTAACACACAAATAAATTATTAAAAATCATACATTGTGATTTCTGGATTTTTCTTTTAGATTACGTCTCTCACAGTGGACATGCACCCGAGATGAAAGATTCAGACCCCTCCATGATTTCAAAGTGGGAGAACGTGCAAAGTCGCATGGTGTTCAAATACTTATTTTCCTCACTGTATATGGATGCCAGGGCAGAGTGTACAGATTTGTGAAATTGTCCCTGTACAGAAACAGATCCGTTTAAAATGCAGTGCTGCCAAAGGGCCAAGAGATCAATTTCATCCAGTACTGATCCTTTTCCTTTGCGAAACGCTCTCTCTCTTCATTCTTGAAATCCTTTGATAAAATGTACAGTAGGTGACAGGATACACATTATTTCCAATTTTCTGATGAGGACCATTAATCTAAAATAGCTCCACTCTTAAGACAGTTTGTTCGCACCACTGCCAATCTTTTCTTTTGAGAAATTTAATATCTCTAAAATTTTTATTTTTTTTACCCAGGCTTCCCATTAACCTGCTGTCAATTAACTTAATGTTTGCAAAATGCTCCTCCAGCTGTTTCTAAATCAGACCACTTACTTTTACAACTTTTTGTTGCGCTGTCAAACTTTTGGAGATGTATTATTTCCATTTCATTCAAAACTAGCCCCCCCCCCCCCCCCCCCAAACAATTGTACAATTTCTGAGTTCCAACATTTGATTTAATTACCACCTTCCATTGTAATTAAGACACAGTTATGCATTTTGTTTTTATTTACAATTTAAACAACATCCTAACTTTTTCCAAATTGGGATATTACTTCAGCACTGCTCACAATGTAATACACATTATGGAAAAATAGTTGCACCAAAACTTTATTTTGGACAAACACACAAAAAAAAGTAGAGCAGCAAAGACAATTACAGAAAGTTTTACTCTACAAAGGTGTGAAATACATCATCTCATCTCGGGTGTCCTGTCCAATATGACCAACAAAGTCAGACTGAGCATTATAAGCTCTGGAACTACATTTCCCATGGGGATCATAATAATACCAGAGATGACAGGCTCCAAAACTATGCAGACTCCTCAAGGTGTGTGTGTGTGTGTGTGGAAGGGGGGGGGGGGGGGGGGGGGGGGGGAGAAAACTTTAATCACCTGTTCAGACCATAACCTGGATCAGATACAAGTTTCTATTAAACTGAAGTGGATCTGGACTGTGCTGAGAATCATATTGCAGAGAGAACATCTGAAATCTGACAGGAGTCAGGGCGACACACATACACACACACACACACACACATACACACACATACACACACACACACACATACATATACAGCAGGTGAAATAAGTATTGAACACATCACCAATTTAGTAAGTAAATATATTTCTAAAGATGCTAGTGCCATGAAATTCTCACCAGATGTTAGTAATAAGCTATCCAATCCACACAGGCAAAGGAAGAAAAGTACAGATGTCCATAAATTATGTGTAATGATGAAAAATGACTAGAGCCCGACCAATAAGGAAATTTTGGCTATTGCCAATACCGATATTGGGAGGATAAGTGAACCGCCAATAACTGATATAATAGCTGAAAATTTGTGAGCTTTGTACACCCCCAAAAATCTTAAGTGAACGGCTACTTTTAAACCTGTTTCAACACTTGAAGTCTTCAAACAGTCTTCCTAACATGCATTCACATTTTCTGTCCTTCACTATTCATGAAGTTATCAAGTGTGATACAAAAATATAAATTAAAGAAACACCCTTCCCTGTTTAAACAGTTAGTCATGTATGGTGAAGACCTAAGTGCTCCCTGCTTCGGCTGTGCTGAATTTGAAAGTGAAATTTAAAGTGCATGAAAGTAAGTCTTCATGCGCCCACTGTTGGATACATTGTACAATTATGGCTGGTTCCCAGCATTTTAGGGGTGAAAATTTTAAGTGCTCATACCAGTACATATTGGGACAGTTATCACTGATATGATAAGTGCCCAAATGTCTATATTGGCCTAAAATATCAGCCCAACCAATATATCGGTCTAATTAATTAATTATATCCAACAAAGTTAAGTCAGGTCCAGAGGAACATGACTTAACTTTGCTGGGTAATAAGCACACTTACTGAAATTTATTTAATACTTTTTACAAAAGTCTTTGTTGGTGATGATAACTTCAAGACGCCTCATGTGTGGAGAAACTAGTCGCATGCATTGTTCAGGTGTGATTTTGGTCCATTCTTCCACACAAACACTTCAAATCCTGAAGTTTCTGTGGATGAACTATGACCTTTAGTTCCATCCTTAGATTTTCTATTGGATTCAGGTCAGGTGATTGGCTGGACCATTCTAGCAAGCTTTATTTTCTGTTTTGGAAACCAGTTGAGAGTTTCCTTGGCAGAGTTTGGGGTCAATGTCTTGCTGAAATGTCCACGTTTGTTTCAACTTCATCATCCTGCTAGCTGGAAGCATTCTTCCTTCAATTAAATGAAGTTTGCCGTATGATGAAAAACAGCCCTACACCATGATGTTCACGCCTCCAAACTTCACTGTTGGTATGGTGTTTTTGGGGTGATATGCAGCGTTTCTTGGCCTCCATACATGATATGTAATTTGGCATCTAAACAGTTCCATGTTAGACTCATCTAACCAGACTATACACTCTCTGTATTTCACAGGCTTGTCTAAATGTTGTTGAGCAAACTTTAAACGTGCTTTTTCTTCAGCAATGGGGTCTTGTGTGGTGAATGTGTATACAGGCCATGGAGGTTGAGTGCATTACTTATTGTTTTCTTTGCAACAATTGTACCTGCTGATTCCAGGTCTTTCTGTAGCACTCCACAGATGGTCCTTGGCTCTTGAACAACTCTTCTGATCATTTTTTTTTTCTCTCCTTTGTCTGAATTCTTGTAGGGAGCACCTGGTCGTGGCCGGTTTATGGTGAAATTATGTTCTTTCCATTTACAGATTATGCCCCCAACAGTGCTCAGTGGACCCTTAAAACATTCTTCTGTACCCAATGCCATCAGTATGTTTTGCAACAAGGTTGCAAAGGTCTTGACTCAGCTCACTAATTTTACCCCTCATGAGAAGTTTCTTATGTAGTGCCTTGGTTGAACCAGCTGATACTATTTTTCACTAAGTAGCAGGATTGTTTTGTAATTACTAATAGACCTCAGCTGGTGCCATGACTTTCCGTGGCTTTTTGCACCTCTCCTTCATGTGTTCCATTCATTTTCCTCTGTTATTTCTCATGACTACACATATTTTATGGACATCTATGGTTTTATTTCTTTGCCTGTGTGGACTGGACAGCTTGTTGCCAACATCTAGTAAGAATTTCATGTCAAATAGTAGCTTTAGAAATATATTTACTGGTACTTAATAAATTGATGATGTATTCAATACTTATTTCACCTTCTGTATGTATGTATGTTTGTATGTGTACATATGCATACGGTATATATACCGTACATACACACACACACAATATACACGCACGCACGCACACAGACGCATACATATATACTTAAATCTCAAAATCTCAATAACAATACAATAATTTCAAAAATGTTACCAATGGCCAAGTTTTGACACAATGAGTCAAGAACTGAGCAAAACCGTTGAGTTGCTGGGTGGCAGAAGAGGTGAGTCATACACGCGCCCGATAGAGAGAAGGGATAGGGAGGGGTAAAAAGGTGTCTTTGTGCAACAAGCAAGCCTCAATATTGTGAAACCAAAGAATTGATAGCCGGCGTCCTCCCAACAATAGTTAGACTGGCATTAAAGGATTGCTACCCACTGTTGTCATGCCAAGTACTGCTGCAACGCCGTCTTAGCCCTGAAACACATACAGTTAGCACTAATTTAGGTAGCTCAGCCAGTATATATTTACTTCTCTGTTTTGGATTTGCTGTTCTGGCCCACCTGTCACTGAGGTTGGGATCAGAAGACTGTGTCAGTTTGTGCAGGATGTCCACAAAGCCCATCTCCCTTAGCTTGTCCTGACGCTCCTGAGACCCTGATGATACACAATGAAGAAGACCACCAGCCTCTAAGCACAGAAAACATTCAAGCAGAACAATCATGTGGACTGAAACTTGCAAAGAGCCAACTTCAGAAATGCAGTGTGAATGCAGAGTCCTGAATGACTTAGTTTCAGCATCTTCAGCTAATTTCAGTAGAATTGTTAAGGCAAAAAGTAGTAAAACATTAGCTAAAGTAGCAAAAGGCTTGGTACAAAAAAATAAAAAAAAATAAAAATAAATAAATAAATATATATATATATATATATATATATATATATATATATATATAT